TGTGTTATTTCAACCACTGTCTGAAATAATTTGCACGATACTGTATATGTAAATATATATATATATATATATATATATATATATATATATATATATATATATATATATATATATATATATATATATATACATACATATATATATATGTGTGTATATATATGTATATATATATATACATATATATATGTGTGTGTGTATATATATATATATATATATATATATATATATATATATATATATATATATATATATATATATACACACATATATATATACATATATATATATATATGTGTGTATATATATGTATATATATATACATATATATATGTGTGTGTATATATATATATATATATATATATATATATATACACACACACATAATGAGGTCAGTCAAATTTTTTGCCGACCTCAAACACTTTTAAGTCTGACCCTAATTACAAAGGTTATATAAATATATATATATATATATATATATATATATATATATATATATATATATATATATATATATATATGTATACATACATACAGGCTTGGTTGGGAAGCGGAAGCGATCATTCTCAAGTACTGACCATGTAAATGATATTTAGTTGCGAAAAACTGGTCAGGTTTTTTAGTCGTTCTGAAAACAAGTGTTTTTATTTTATGGCTTTTATCGTGTTTATTTTAGAAGTATATACTATATTTTATACCATTTTTAATAAATATATTTCAACTGATGTTGACTATATTGTAGGCAAAACATGTAGAACGGTAAATGATGAGCTGTAGGTTTTCTATGTTGTGTAAATTTATCAACTGATGTTATCTCGATGACATTATCTGGTAAAGCATTCCAGTCATTGACTACACGGTTGTTGAAAAACTTATTTCTGGCTTTGCAGTTCCTTACAGTCTCGTAATGAAATCTGATTCGATGTTGAGCTCTGGGTACTTGGTTGTAAGGCTTTACATGCCAATCAATTAGGTTTAAATTATTGAGAAACTTATATTGTTGGATAAGGTCACCTCTTTTCCATCTGTCTTTAAGAGTAGTTAATTTCATGATTTTACATAGAGTTTTGCAGTCTTTTTCTTTCAAAGCTTGAGGAACTTTCGTGGCATTGTGTTGTACCTTTTCAATTTTTTAATGTCACTATGTATATATATTTATATGTGTATATGTATATGTGTGTGTGTATGTGTGTATTACATTAAATCACTTTCAACAAGGCTGCAAGTAACCACTATTATGTTGGGAGTTACTTGAAAACAAAAAATAGTGTTAAAGAGTAAGAAAATGGTTGACAGAAGACTTGAAAAGTTTTATTGAGTCAGGAAAACATAAAAAAGTTTCTTTATAATGCAGAAATGGACTGCTATTTCATAGATATTAAGAAAATGTGTTTCACTGCTTTTGTCTTTGAACTTCACTTTTTTTGAATAGTTATTAAACCATTTCTTTCTTATCTCAGTATTAAACTGATAGACATTACTCTACATTATTTTCTTAGTCCTATGATGTTTCTTATCTATATCAACAAGCTACCAAGGTTAGTAAAGGTAAAGCTTTGTCAAATTGTGTCTCATTTCTTTTTTACAAAATTACTAGTTGCTGCTTAAGTTTTTTAAAGGGAGAACAAATCTTTGTTTTATTTTGCATATTATATATATATATATATATATCCTTGTATCGTAGTCAAAAAAGACTTTTAATGTAAAAAAAGTCTTTTTTGACTACAATTTTGCTACCTCGACAAATAAGCTACATTTTATTGTCTTTAAATGTCAAAGCAATTAAATTAAAGCGGAAGACATTCAATTTTATTGTTTTTTAAAAAAACATCAATAATAATGACATTCTACAGCTTGCGGCCCGGACAACATACCTGTTATAGTCTTGCAGAAGTGTTCTCCGGAGCTGTCGTCTATCCTTTCAAAACTATTTAACAAGTGCTTATCAGAGTCTTGTTTTCCAGCCTGCTGAAAAGCAGCATCTGTTATCCCTATTTTTAAAAATTCTGGAGAGCCATCTGATTCATCTAACTACCGTCCCATTAGTCTTCTTCCTATCATAAGCAAGGTTTTTGAATCTTTAATTAACAAACACTTAATCTCTCATCTCGAACCCCTTAACCTACTTTCTGATCATCGATATGGATTTCGATCTTCTCGTTCTACGGCTGATTTGCTATCAGTAATAACCGATAGGTTTTATCGCGCATTAGATAAAGGTGGAGAGGTTAAGGCCATCGCTCTTGACATTTCTAAAGCGTTTGATAAAGTTTGGCATGCTGGTCTTCTCCATAAGCTTTCTTCTTACGGTGTATCTGGAAACATCTTTAAGATTATTCAATCCTTCCTTTCCAATCGTAGTATAAAAACTGTCCTTGATGGACAGCACTCTTCTTCTTATTCTGAAACCTCAGGGGTTCCCCAAGGTTCAATCCTTGGCCCTATACTCTTTTTAATTTACATTAACGATCTTCCAGATATTCTCACATCTAAGGTGGCATTGTTCGCTGATGAAACTACCATTTATTCTTGTCACGATAAGAAGCTAACTCCCTCTGATTGCTTGCAGGGGGCATCTGAGCTTGAAAACGATCTCACTTCTGCTACAGCATGGGACTCACAGTGGCTGGTGAACTTTAATTCAGATAAAACTCAATTTTTTGCGGCCAATTGTTATCGCAATAATTTAGACCTTCCTATATTTATGAACGGTAATTTACTTGATGAGTCTCCTACCCTTCATCTTCTAGGATTAACTCTTACTTCTGATCTTTCTTGGAAACCTTATATCAAATCCGTTGCAAAATTAGCATCTGCTAAAGTTGCTTCTCTTTATCGAGCTTGTCACTTTCTTACTCTGGATTCTATTCTCTATCTCTATAAATCTCAAATCCGGCTTTGTATAGAATACTGTTGCCATATCTGGGGCGGATCTTCTATGATGCCCTTTCTCTTTTAGACAAGGTGCAAAAACGCATTATAAACATAGTTGGACCTGCTCTTGCAGCCAACCTTCAACCTCTGTCACATCGTCGTAATGTTGCTTCTCTTTCTCTTTTCTGCAAATACTATAATGGGCACTACTCTAAAGAGCTAGCGTCTGTGCCATCTACTAAAATTTATTCTTGTGTTACTCGTCATTCAATTAAGTCTCATTCTTTTTTTGTTACTGTTCCTAAGTGTTCCAAAAACTCTTATTCGTCTAGTTTTTTTCCTCGAACATCAGTTCTTTGGAATTCGCTTCCTTCATCTTGCTTTCCTGATTCATATAGTTTGCAATCTTTTAAGTCGTCTGTCAATCGTTATCTTGCTCTACAATCTTCATCTTTTCTCTTCCAGTAACTTCCAACACTAATTAGTGGTTGCTTGCAGCCTTGTTGGAAGCAAAGATAATTAATATATATATATATATATATATATATATATATATATATATATATATATATATATATATATATATATATATATATATATATAGGCTATGAAATATATGGCTGAAAGATTGCCAAATGGCATGAAACTTAAAATCCCACTAAAGTCTTTAAAAGTAAATAGTTTAAATGTAAACATGTATTGCCAAAAAAAATTCGACCACCCAATATTTATAGTAAATTATTATTTATAGTAAATTATTACTAGAAAATGTTTTAATTCAAAAAGCAACATACATGTACATTAAGAACATAAAAAACATGTTTTGAACTTTGTATGGGCTTCTTGTACTTTTAGACAGCAAAGTGACCCATAATATTTAAATGATATTTTATGATTCAATGCTTTCATTGTGGCTTTTCTTAGATCTGCTAGTGAGGTTCTGTTTAGAAACTTCTGCTTTTAATTCTATTCATCAGGTTTTGATGGGGTTTAAATTAAATTTAAATAACCCAGCCACAGGGTAATTAATTATATTTTCATGGAGCCATGTCTTGATAATTTTTGCCTAACAGCAAGTTGCCCCATTGTACATAGAAATAGCAAACATCCCAATTCAAAAACAATTAAACAAAGATGATTGTAAAAGGTGTAAACTAGCCCAATCAGTGGTAGCGGCTGCACCCCAAATCAAAATTGCTGGACTTGGCTTAACAGAAAGTGCATTCTATTGTGGATTAAAACAATTAGTTTGGTGACCAACAAACATTGACTTAACTTGCTCTTTATCTGAGAACTTGACATTTTGCTACATTTTAACAGTTCAATCTTCATGTTCTTTTCAAAGTTTGAGGTGGTCACAAATATTTTTCTGAGAAAGGTGTGGCTTAAATGCAGCGCAATTAAAGATTAAAGTCCTTGGCAAGGCATCTTTCCGACAAACAATGCAGATTTTGATGGTCTTGTTCATTTGCTTATTTGTCAACTTTAATTAAATAAAGATTCTAATATGCATTGGAATGCAGTGAGGATGGATGCAATGAGGCTAGGGTAATTGCTCTTGGCATCCTAGAGCCTTTTTCGTGTACCTAGGAAAGTTTTTCCAACTAAAAGTTGTTTACTGGTAATAATTATTGTAATAGTGTTGATATTTTTATCTAGACGATCTAAATATCTGGAATTCACAAATTTGCATATCTTTTAGGAAATTGTTTCTCAAAATCTAGTTTTTCCCTTAAATATCAATGCTTTAGCATTCATTCCCATCATGTTTTTGTTTCATGCTAATAACAGTTGGTTTGTTTTTCAAACTTTTTTTTTGCTCTTTGATTCTCATTTTTACTCTCTGGTAAAGATTTTTTTACTCTAAAGAAATACTCTAGAGAGTCATTTTTTCAGCCTTGTTGGAAGCAAATATGTATAAATTTTTTTCCAATTAAGCTGACATCTGTTTCTTTTTGGACTTTAAGCAGGTTTTAAAAAATCTAGAAAAAGACTCATTATTACAGCTAAAAAATGTTTTTTTTTTTTGTAAACAAAAAAAAAAATTATTTGTACTTTTTTAAATATATTTATAAAATAATTTTTTGTCATTGTTGTAATAAATTTCTTGTTTTTATTGAATTTTAAAGGATGAGTATACACCTCTGGATCTAGCGCTTGAAAATGGAAATTATAAGTTGATTAAACTACTCAGAAGTTATGGTGCTCAAACCGGACATTGTGTGTTGAGTAATGCTGCTATAAAAATTCAGCACTATTGGAAAATGTATCGAAAACGATGTTTTCCGAAATTTAAAGAAAGAGTTTCTAATAGGAGTTTGTGTAATTCTTCTAATGCAAGTGAAAGCATTAGTGTTTTAGAGTCCAAGAGGAATCAAAATCAAACTGATCAAGAAGTTGGTTTTTACCAAGCTTTGTTGAAAAATTCAGTTGATCACTCTGAGTCTGTTTTAAATACATTGCCAATCAATTCTATAGAAGATTTCTCACCAAGTCAAAAACAAGAGTTAGCGCAAAATTTATTTACTGATATTCTTACTGAACGCTATAAAAAAGAATTTAAAGAAAGAATTGCAGAAGGGGTGTGTTTTTTAGACATTTTAATATTGTTTTAAATTATTGTTTTAATAGTAACCTTTGTTATTATTTATTATCTAATAAAGAATCATGAAATTGAGTTAATGAGGAAACTTATGAGAGAAACGGAGAAGTTACTTGTGCGAGCAAAAACTGTTAGTCAGGTAATTTTTATAAGATTTATTAATGTTGAAAATTTCTTTTTCAAATTTTTATAAACAGAAAATGTTGGCACAAAACAAAGTTTTTTTAATTTCTTTGTATTAGCACAACTTAAGATTTTCTTTATGTCAGCACAAATAAAATAATTTTATTTTGTTCAATATTGAGAATAAGTTTTATCTCTCATTTTAAAAGCATTTAAAACAGAATCTGGATCATTTCAAAAGTATGCAATTGATGTACTAACAATAAAATAAATCAAAATTAGATAATGTAATAGAATATGGTTTTCTGTTAAAATGCTAATTTAAAACAAGTGATCTCTAAGTTTGCTTTTTTTTAGTCTATCTTGATATACAGTTGTATAGTTGCTTCAACTTTCTTTTATAGTATGATGTGAGAAAAACATTTTCAAATGATTGTGAAATATTTTGTTAAGCAGTGATGCTTTATTTAAAAATGTACAATAAAGACAGCTCTTATCAGGAGTGGGTTTTTTTTTGTTGTTGTTACATAGGTATCAGAAGATTTAATAAGTAGTGATGCATTTCGATCAATGAAAAGAAGAACTAAATTACTTATGGATGACCAAAGAAAGAAATATTTATTTGACAAGTATGTGTTTTATGATTTCAAAGATAAAGTAATAATATATTTCTCATTGATTTTAAATTGACATTTTTATCTGTTATCTATTTTGCTTTTAATCTTTTTGAGTGCCTGTGTAATGCAAGAAAAAGCAGGTCAACTATATAATAGCAAAAAAAAAAAAATTTCAAAACTAATGCCATTAAAAGTATAGACTATTTCACTAACTTTAGTATATCAAAAGTTAAATGTAAAGAATCATCTTTGTGCTAAATGTAAAAAATCATCGTTCTATAAATTTACAATAAGACTACATTTGTTCTTTGTGATGAAATCACTAATATATATTTTATTTTCATTTATATTTGTGATGGAATCACCAATCTCTATATTAGCAGTAAATTTTTTAAATAACCAACCTTAAGAAAGAAGAGAAACCAACCTTAAGAAAAAAGAAAAATTTCTTGTCCTCAAAAAATTTATTCTTATATTTTTGACATTTCTAGCATAACTATGTGAATTGAATCTGTTCTTAGAAACTTCAAACATAATTACATGAATTTGAATCTGTTGTTAGATTTTTTGTAACTAACTTCTATATTGCAAAACTTGTTTTGAAAGACTTCATTTTTTTAAGAATAAAGCCAAATAAATGTCAGATGAAAATGTGTTATATATAAAGACATATATAATAATATATTCTATATAATATAAAGACATAATTTTTTTTAAATAATTTCAGGAAAAAACAACTAAAGATATTATAAAGGAGATTTTTAATTAAATCACTTTATTTCTCTCCCATAATTTCGTTCATTATCTCTCAGTTGAATCACTCTACTCTTGACTCACATCTCCAAGATTTTCAAGAACTAGCCAAGATATCTCTTTCAACATTTTAACAAATAAATTTACATTTCTGTTTTTTGTTTGTTTGTTTGCTTTTTTATACCCAAGATTTTTTTACATGTTTTAAAACAATTCCTCTGTTTTTTTTTGTTTGTTTGTTTTTCTATTAACAAATCTTGCAATGTTGTATTGAAACTGAATTATAAGCAAACAGTTTTCAATCTTTTAATAAATTTTTTCAGAAACGCAATTAAAAATACAACATTATTCGAAATAAGTATAAATAAAAGACTTATTGAGTATATAATATAGATAAGATTAATATATTAATAAAATATAATAATATAAATAAATTGAGTATAATAATATAAATATGTTGAGTATAATAATAATAAGAAAAGCATGGTAAAAATAAGCAACCTTATCAAATCTTTTTTTTTTTTTTACGATCATTTTGATATTCAGTTTCCAGCCGTTGTGAACTCTATCTTAAAGCAATCATATTTAAGAATCTAATTTCTAAACAATATCAAAAGGTGATGACTTATTATCAAGACTATAATAAGATTTCTTCATAAGATTTTCAAGCTTGTTTATGTAGATAAAAATCAATGGGATCAAATACAGAACAAAAAATGACGGAACCCTGTTGTTGTATCTCTGAGTTGACTGAAAGTAAAGAAAAATGTTATCAATCAAAGATTACTTTAGTTCTGCAAATGGAGAGGAAAGATTTAATAATTTTGCACTATATGAATACACTATATTTGCACTATATGAATACACTACCTCGGAATTAGGAAAATTGAGGTCGGCAATAATTCGACCTAATAATTTGTCGACCTTAATCTGTTGGAGGTCGGCGTAAAAAATTTGTTACAAAGGTTTTACTATAAAATATAGAAATGAGGTCGGCAATTTTTTGCCGACCTTAAACACTTCTAGGTCAGCAGTTAGGTCGACAACGCTGAATGTCGACCCTAATTCTGAGGGCTGTATATGAATACACTATATAAATAAAGGATACACAATATGAATAAAGCTTATGAAGAAGATCGGCATGGCAGACTTTCTTATAAGTCTTTTATGTGTCAAGAGTATTGACCTTTTCATTTTCTAATACATCTAACACATAGTAACAATCATTAGTTATCACCGCTAACAGGAACGCAACAGGAAAAAGCAAACAGGAACGCAAACAGCAAAAACAGCAACAGGAACGCAGCAGGAAAATAAAAGCATCAAAAGTCATATTTTCAGAAAGTTGTTAGCTTAAGTAAAGAATTTGATTTTTGACAAAAATCATAAGAAATTATATGATACTATTCGGATCAAAAAAATAGTTAGAATTTGATTTAGATTATAATTTGGATCACAAAAGGAATTAGATATTACTTTAGCCACAGAAGTAATGGAAATGGGACATTTGGGACAACAGGAAGAGTGGGCTTATTATAATTAAAAGATGAACTATTGAAGTCTTCAAAAAAATTCAGCTTTTCTTTGGAAATATTGAACCATTCACGAGAGATAGATTACGTTCTTTTTTTTTAATTAGAAGCATACTTTTTGGCTTTTGTTTGTAATTTTTGTTTTTAATTAATCACTTAGACGAAGAATGCTCAGTTAGTACTTGTTAGGTTTATTCAAATCTTAACTACGAAACGCATTATAGCGTTTGTATTTTCAAATGCTTAAGTGGATATAGTTTGAAGTTAGAATGTTTTGTTGCTTTATAAGCTTTATAAACAAACAAAAAAATATTTTTTTTTGTTTCCAAATTTTTGCCACAATTTAGCCTTGTGTTATTTATAAATATGTTTGTTATTTAAAAATTGGTGCATTAGATTTGCCTTTGCTAATGATGTGTGTGTTGTGTCTAATACCCAACTGAGGATTTTTTTCCATCATTAGTTCATCATTCTTTTCTTCTTTTATGTTTTACGTTGTTGTTTTTTTTTCTTTTCAGGTAAACATGTTTTATCGTTCCTTATAAACATTGCTGTCAAATAAAGAAGAAAATGTTTAAGAATGTGGAGTTACTTTTCTAACTTGTTTATTTGTAACAGATTGTTTATTTTGTACTTGGTTTGTACTTTGTACATATTTTAGTTTTTTGTTTTATTTATTTCATTAATAATTTGTAGATATTGTATAAAAAAAAGATTTTTTATTTTTGTTTTAAAAAATAAAAATTTTTATATTTGTTAAAAAATTTAGCTATAAAGTAAAGCGACTTTTTGGTTTGAGAAGGAAAACATTTTAAAATCAATTTTTAAAAAATTTTCGAGTTAAATATTTGAGTTTAATTTTAGGTTTTTGAAACTGCGTATATCATATTTGTTACAAAACAAGTTTTTTTCCTTTATGTTATCCCTAGTTAATGATTTATAGGGCGCATGATTTTGTCCAGTAAATTTTTTTTTTTTTTTTTTGTTATCTTTCTGTTTGTTGTTGTTGTTTTTTTGTTGTTGTTTTTCTGTATATACATTTTACATATTTAAATTTGATATAAGTTTAATATTTTTTATATTTATATATATAAGTTTTGTTCATAAATTTTTACTTTTTATATACCTAGATCATTACTTACCGAAATAAAAGTTTAAAAAATGAATATAACAATAATAAAACCTGTTTTAATTGCAACAAGTTTTATTTTTGTCCATGTATTCTGTAGATTTCTCACACAAATAACGCTAAATCCTTTGTCCTTTTTTTTTTTTTTCTTGATCTCGGAGGCCATAATCATTATGTTTCTGTAAATTAAGGTTTCTTGTACTGGCTGCGCTAGGAATCTTTGGTATTTTGCATGTCGACTGCCATTGTTTTATAAAATAAACAAGCATGAATATACCTATTTTAAAAGTTAGAAAAGTTATTTGTTTTTTCCATATTACCAATTGTAAATTTTGAATTATTGATTATGTTGACAAAGAAATTTTAAAATTGTTTAGTTGAAAGTATGAATGATTCCAAAAAATGTGAACTGTCTCGATTGGACTTGATGTTTCAGTCTTTGGAACAAGCCGATCTAAATGACTCGTCATTTGATATTAAAAACGAATCTGGTGAATCTAAATTGCTTTCTGAAGAAATAATAAAACTTAAAAAATTAGCCTTAATTAAACAAAATTGGGAAGTTGAGAAATCAGATTTAATTTCAAAAATTCGAAAATGTGAAAATATATTAAATGGTCGGTGTGAACTTTTTATGAGCGATTTAGATCTGCGTGAGATTGTGCAACAGGAAAATCGATTACTTAAGGAAATCGACGTTAAACTTGAGGAAGTAAAAAAAGCAGAAGTAGAACTAAATGACATTAAAGAGCTATTGGTTGAAATGCAAGATGTTCACGCTATCCAATTTGGTATTTATAATAGTGAAATTTGATATGTAAATTTTCTTTTTATTTTATAATTTTTTTTACTTTAAAATTTCGCTGGTATTCTATATTCAGCCAAAATTAGCTCCCAGTCCCAGACAGTTAGAATATACAAATGGCTCTTAAGTATGCATTGATTTTAACATATTCTAAAATTTTTCTTTTTAACGCTTTTACGTTAAGGAGAAAATTTTCCCCTCTCTTATCTAAAGGTGAATTTCCACTCATCTGTTTTTCTACGGGAAAGGGAACGGGAAAATAATATATCAGAAACGTTTGTGCGCCATATTAGAAATACTATATTGTACTTGATAAATAATTTTTTTGGGTCAGGTTAACAATATTCAGTTTTTGCCATGTCAAATAACTTGTAAATATGAGGTACAACAACATGTGGAGATTTTACAGTAGTTACATCTTTTCAGTTATTAAAAATAACTACATCTTTGGATTCTACAAACGCAGCTACATCTTTTTAATTTTATTAAGAATAACTACATCTGTACAACAGCATCTGTGGATTCTGCAGAATGTAGTTACATCTTTTCGATAATCAAGCAAAACAATATTTGTATGCAGTCAATCGATAAATTACTGTTTGATCAAATGGACCATTATATCGAATATATAATTTGATCGAATATTGATTTTATGTGAAAAGCGCAATAAAATAATTTATTTAACAATTATTCGCTAAAGAGTAATTTTTGTATTTTACGTAACAGCGTTACGGAATACATGTAATACATCTTGTATTATCTACACGGAATACATCTTGAAAAAAATATAAATTTATAAGTTTATGAATTAATTAATTAGTTAATGAATTATTTTAACCAGATAAAGTTGCATATATGATTTTTTTAAGATTTAACTAAATCAAGAAAAAGGAGGAAATTCTTTCAGATTTCATTGGACTTTAAGAAAAATTCTCAGATGTAGTTACATCTTTCTGAAGATGTTGTCAGGTATCATTGAGTTTCCAGATAATATTGGACAGACGTTATTTAAGTAAAAATCAAATGTAGATGCTCTTGGACTACTCCACAGATGTTGTTAAAAAGATGTAGTAATCTTTTACAATTTTTTTAATTTGTAAAATGGCTTCCTGTTAAATGCCATTGTTATCTTTTATCAACATTAAAAATACAAAAAACTGAGCAAAATATAAAAAAAAATTCTGACTTGATTTCTATTCATAATATAAATTTCATTTACATTATGAATAGAAATATTATTATCAATATTATTGAAAATACTCTTTCAAACCAAAAAGCACTGCAAATTTGTCTTAAGAGATCGTCCACTATTACGCAACGCTAAAAATATTTATAAAATAAAAGTAGATCATTTGCTCTCTTTTCATTGAAAATGAAAAGAGAGCAAATGATCCAATGGCCGTTTTCATTGAACTTAAAGCGCTATTTTGATTTTTGGTTTAATCTGATGTAGTTTTTTACAAATAAGTTATTATTAAACATAGCTTGTATAGCAATTGAAATATTTTCAATATTTTATTTGATATTTCTCATGATTGAGAATACGCATGTGTATTAAATATATATACACATGAGAAGTTTTTAACATTATAAAGTTCGTTTTATTTCCTAAAAGTTAGTTTTTAACAGGTAATAAAATGTTTACTGAAAGAAGTTAACAAAGTAAAAATGTCGGTTAAATGTAGAAATGTACCGGAATTCCGGCCCGGATTGGTGATTTTCAGGTCATTCCGGCCGGAATTACAATATTCCAGGTCGGAACTTTTTTTTTTCCAGACATGTGACAAAGACTATGTAAATTAAATCAAAAATTCTACAAGGCAATTAATAACTATAGGTGAATCTATGTAAAAAATACATATTTCTAAACAAACACGATGTAATTTTATTTGCAATAATCAATTATGTAAGGATTTCTGAAAGTTTAGGAAAACAGTGGTTTAAAAAGAGATGCTATCCAGTTTTGGGTAAAAAACAACCTATTTTATAATCAAAAATGTTTCTTATTTTTATAATCAAAAAAAGGTTATACAACAATTGGATGTTGCTAGAATAGTTCTTGACTACTGTAGAGAATTCTGCAGAATGAACGTCAGCTAGATTGAGACTTTGTGCACTGCAAGGCATGAACAAAGTTTGAGGATTTTTCTCGAGAATGATGGCTTTCACTTCTTTGTATACACCGGACATATTAGCCCCGTTATCATAGCCCTGGCCCCTACAGTTCTTTAATCAATATTGATCCAAAACGTCTATAATCAGCTTTGCAATTTCAAAACCCTTTTTTTATCTCCAGAATTTCTACTTTTAAATAACGGTCTATTACTATCCATTGGTTGTCAGATCCTCGGCGGACAAATCGAAGAACAAAAGTGATTTGTTCCGCATGAGACATGTCCGAAGTTCCATAAATAATAATAAAAACTATGAACATCGAATTAGAGAATATTTATGAATGGTTCAAAATAAATGAAGAAATTGTCACTAAATATGGATAAAACAAAATGGTCACTCTTTCATCCGACTTCTAAAAAGAAGCTACTGCCTCCTAACTTGCCCTTACTTTTTATAGACAAAATTCAAATAAAAAGAGAAATAAATACTAATTTTTTTATGTGTCCGAAAATACCACACTAATTTTTTGTACAACAAAATAAATTCTTTTTGGATTATTTCTGTCTTTAGATAGGTTGTTCTCTAATGAGTGAATTGCAGCTCTAGTTTTTTTTTTTTTCACAAGATTTCAAGTATACTTGTAATCATTAACTAAGGAGATAATTTTCTATTTGCTGTTTTGGTTCTTCGAAAGTTCTTCTTTTCATTTAATTAGCAATAAAAGTTCTTTGGTTAACCAAGGTAGCTGTTTTTGGTTAACCAAGGTAGCTGTCGTTTCTTATGTTTAAAAGGATTAAATGAAATAATTTTTTTTCAGTCTTTGTTGTAGATATTGCATTAAACTTGGTAGCTTTGATTGACGTCTAAGTTTTAAAATTTAAATTCCCACCTCTGCTATGCTAAGTAATTGTTAAAATAAATATAACTTTCTTTAATATAAATAAATTTCAAACTAGTAAAATATTTATAAAAATTTTAAATAAGACTACAAACAATTGGTGTAGTCTTATTTATAGCCAGAAACAGCTATTAAAAGTTCCAGAAGTTTGCTATGGTTTAAGATATAGGATTGGTATAGAATAGCTTAAAAATCTATTATGTGATAATTTAGGATTTAATTTTTGGTGGGTACTTGATACTTTGTTGGATTTATAGTTGATTATTTTATTGACAGGTAGTTGTTATTGATTGTGATAAGTCAATTGTTTCAACATTTCTTGCGACTGCTGCCTTTTGTTTGTCCACAAAGAGATTTTTTTCGACTCCATTAATAAAAAAATTAACGTTATGTCGATACAGCGAATGTCGATACAGCGAATGGAATCTCCGCGAACAACATATCGAAAGGGCTGATCAAGTTTAAAATTGCCATTAAGTTCATCATTAAGTTTCTTTTTTTCTAAGTTTAAATTATTAAAGCCTTCTTGTTCTGATGGGGTATGGTCAAGTTGAATGAAGATCTTTTTCTACTTTGAATTAGCTAGATTTCTTGCTGAATAAATAACTTTATTACGAGCCTCTACAGTGTCAAATTCAAATATAAGTGGAGGTGGCAATTTATTTGTTGTTAAATGTGCAGATGTATGGCTTGTGTTAAATTGACGGTGAATTGATTTTATATTCGCAGATAAATTGAGCAGATAAGTTAGAAGTATATCTCTAATTATTTTCTTGTCATCATCTGAACGCTCTTCTTGAGTGCCTTTTTGTGAGTTTTCTACAGCAACAACAACTATTTTTCGGCTTTTTCAGCTTACATGCGCTGATCTAGAAAAGAGGGTCTAGTATGATCTATCTGATGTGGAAGAGATTTCACTTTTCGAAGATATTCAATTTTCTCACGCAAACTAGTGCTTCCATCTTTAAGCATTTGAATTTAGTTTGTCATGGCTGTTTTAAATGCAAGAGAGTTGCTGAGTTCTCCAATTTTGCTTAAAGCTAAAGCCACCAAATTTGTTTAAAAAAATTTGGTGGCTTATGTTTTAAAAGTGACATAATTGATCCAACTTCTATTTATTAATATTGTTATTATAATTTGTAGTATTTAATCATGAATAAAAGGGTACACATTAAATGTATGAACTTGTTACTTATAAACAATATGCCTTTGAGTTTATGAAAAGCATGTTGTGTGATTGAATAGCTATATATTCTGGAGTAGACAAGTTACACAGAAAAGACAAAAAAGCAAATAGAAAGACAAAAAAAAAGTGAAATAAGAAAAAATAAATCCATGTAAATGTACTTTTAAAATGATAAATCTTAAACCAGGCTCTTGTAAGAATGAGAATATTGAAGAAGTTAGCACTAGAGCACAAAATAGGAGCCACAGAAGAATAGTTAAATGTGTCATAGATATCTTTGTTTCTGATAACAAATTGAAAAACCCTAAACTTTGTTTCATGCCGCATCTGTAACAACATCTCATCGACCCAACTTAATGCCATTGTTGTACTCTTTTGTAGCAGCATGCAGGGGGTGAGCCTTACAAGCTATGTTTCTAAGCACGGCCAGCTTACTGTTATAACACCGTCATTGTACCCAAAATAAAGGTGAAGATCAAAGAAAATTAGAGGCTATTGCCAAATATGCTGGTGTATTGGGATGGAAAACTTATGGAAACTCTTGATTCTAAAGAAATGGATGATTGATTGTCAATTCTTGTATCTGAAGCTGATGGAACAAAGCTCCTTGGTGTTCCTAAATCAACTAAAAAACTAGTTAAATTTTTCAAGACGTTATAGCAAAGGCAAGTAACAAAATTCTTAGGAAATGAAAGTGTAAAAAAAATATTATTGGCATGGTTTTCAATATAACTTCATCAAATACATGAAATATCTAAATAACGATCATACAACTACACTGTAATTTACATTTTCAGAAAAGAGAGCCACTGCATGCGCGTCTTTACAGAAAGAATTAATTTTTGCTCTTTTCA